CCCTCTCTGCCCTGCTCTGCATCCTGTGTGTTGGATTAGTCCTGCTGTGCCCAGATCTCTACCCTGTGTGGACTTTAACCCTCTCTGCCCTGTTCCGCATCCTGTGTATTGGATTAGCACCATTGTGCCCGGATCTCTGCCCTGCGTGGACTTTAACCCTCTCTGCCCTGCTCTGCATCCTGTGTGTTGGATTAGTCCTGCTGTGCCCGGATCTCTACCCTGTGTGGACTTTAACCCTCTCTGCCCTGTTCCGCATCCTGTGTATTGGATTAGCACCATTGTGCCCGGATCTCTGCCCTGCGTGGACTTTAACCCTCTCTGCCCTGCTCTGCATCCTGTGTGTTGGATTAGTCCTGCTGTGCCCGGATCTCTACCCCCTGTGTGGACTTTAACCCTCTCTGCCCTGTTCCGCATCCTGTGTATTGGATTAGCACCATTGTGCCCGGATCTCTGCCCTGTGTGGACTTTAACCCTCTCTGTCCTGCTCTGCATCCTGTGTATTGGATTAGCCCCGTTGTGCCCGGATCTCTGCCGTGCTGGACTTAGCACTATTCTGCCCGAAAACTTTGCCCACGGACTCCAACCCCTGCAGTGCCCTGCTTCTCTGTCCTATTGAACCGGGTGGACTATTGGCCCCTTGTTGTCCCATATTGCCATCCTGAGAACCCTACTGTATCACTGTGTCTTGTGTTGTTCTGTGGACTAGCTGTTCTATTGTCTGTACCCCAAAAAACTCCCCAATAAACGCCCGCATGTCAGGTTCCGAGTGATATGTCTCTGTGTGCTCTCTCTGCGCTCCTAGTTCATCACACTGATGGTAATGCTTTAGCTACTAAATGCCATCCAGTAGGGCCCCATTCACATGGCCAAATTGCCTGTGGTGTGGCAAGTATGTTGCAAAAAAACTGTGACTGAGAGCCCGGGAAGCAACTACCTGCAGTTAGGAAGGGAAGATCACCCCTGGATGCAAGCAGCTTCTGTCCAGGGATGATCCTCTGTCCCTAACCGCAGGTCATCACCTCCTGTGCAATTCCTTCCGATTGTACCGGTGAACAGCTATGGCTGATGTCAGCCTGTCATTACCTTGCACAGGCTTCCCCTCCCCAGCTGTTCACCTATACCTGGGCCCCCAACTGCAGTTTTTCGCAAGATACTTACCACATCACAGCCTATCTGGCCTACTTCAATGCAAATACAGAGCCTACCTCTTTATCTGATTGCTATACATTTAACTGGTAGGTTCCTGTGTCTTGATTTTAGGCTGACACCATTTCTACTAATGAGATGCTCTATGATAAATACTAAGACAGCATACATCAAAGGATATACTCTCCAGAGACCAGCAAACCCCAGAACTGGGTGTTCTTCTGTAAATGTTCAATAGATGTACTAGAAGCAAACGCACATTTCTTCTGGGTGGTAAACCTACTAGGATACCAGCAACATACAAGCCGTGCCTAGACTGAAGAGTATGTGCAACATTATTGATATAGTGTCTCATAACTTGTCAATACAATTGTGTTCATTTGTTGTCTGTACCAGTACAGGCCTTTTAACACCCTAGGGGAAAAGGCCAAAGTGCCCCCCTCTCCATAAATTGTTAACTACTTCAGCAGGATAGAAAACACACAAGAATCCTATTAAGGGGACATTTCGGGTGCTACAATGACAACCACAAAATCTTTGGTTTTATTAATACAAACTTCTATTAAAGTGGTTGGAAACCCTCCCATATACCCAGTGAAGTGACTGGCCTGTGATACACAGAGATGAAACAAATCCTCCTACATAAGTTGTACCTTTTTATCTTCTCTACATGGTTGGTATAGATAAATTGGTGGGAAATGGGCAACACTCTGCATGACACGTTTCACAGACTGTAATGTCCGTTTCCTCAGGAGATGTGTTGAGTATGTATAGACCGACGTGTGATTCACAACAAGCAGGAAGGGAGCTTGACTCCCGAAATACGTTAGCTTTCCTACCAGACGGGCCCGAGATGGGACGGGCCTTCTAAGTCTGTATTTCTTGTATATGCCTGCTGGTTGTCGGGAGATGCGGCTATACTTCCGTTGCCACGAGTAACCAGTGCAGTTGTGTGAAAGCTATAGCAACCAGCCAGTGGGAGGTAGGTACCTGGCATGGGAGTTGATCACCCCAGTAGTCAGGAGGTTGGTGAGCTTGACCCCCTACCTAGTGATCGGTACCACATACATGGAACTGATATTGCAGCATGTGGGACCTAGGGACCCAGCCTGGAGATGCGAAAGCAATAGAGAGAAGGGAAGTGGCTCCAAGTAAGGTCTGCACTAGGAATCTGGCGGGAACCCGTATTGTCACCGGGAGTGAGGTGTCAAGCTCTGGCTGTGCTGGTGAGCGTGACACGGGCTCTGCAGTGTCCCCTAGGAACTGCTGCATTTGTGGCAGGACCCTGACATGGGAAAAGTGCAGTTGGGGGAAAATTAAGTGTCCAAGTTTAACAAGTGGAACTGTGCAAAGGCAATCGGCTTGCTTCTGAGTAGGGTGCAGCTTTAATGCTGACTTCACATGACCACGGCCCCCATGTCCATGCTCTCAGCGCATTAGCGAGAGCATTCATGAGGGTCTCCATATGTCGTGCTAAGCCATGCCCACATGTGGTGCGTATAGATTTATGAGTTAGCCCCACTGTATATTTGTTTTTGTTTGGTTACTTCAGCAGTATTGATTATGGGTCTTGTTGTTTTTGCACCCATTCATTTTAATGCACCCAAGGCAGTTGCTTATTCTGCCTGTTTTCGGCCCAGCTCTGCTCTGTACCATAGAGGTATGCCCATCAATAGAGATGTAGGCTTGTTTTTATAGCAGCTTTTAAATGGATCTGATCTTTAGTGATGTGTTAGATGGAAAGCTGTGGGCCCTGCGACCCAAGGTGCTTCAGTCCAGGTGCGGGTGAATGTCACAAGTCATGGTCCAGGTGCAGGTGAATCTCACATGTCACAGTCAGGGGCGGACTGACCATTTGGAAACTCGGGCACTGCCCGAGGGCCCGGGGTCAGTAGGGGGCCCCATGAGATGCCCCTGGTACCTTTTTCATAGGCTTTTTTGAGTTTGGGCAAGGACCCCGGGGCCCCATGATCCCCTATTGCCCGGGGCCCCATGAGTTGTCAGTCCGCCCCTGGTCACAGTCCAGGTGCGAGTGAATGTCACACCTCACATGACAGGTGTGGGTGAATGTCACACATCACGTTACAGGTGAGAGCGAATGTCACACATCACGTTACAGGTGCGGGCGAATGTCCCACATCATGTTACAGGTGCGGGCGAATGTCCCACATCATGTTACAGGTGCGGGCGACTGTAACACATCACATTACAGGTGCGGGTGAATGTCATAAATCACATGACAGGTGCAGGTGAATGTCACACATCACATGACAGGTGCGGGTGAATGTCAGCCGTCAGGTGCAGGTGAATGTCCCAGGTCACATGAAAGGTGCGGGTGAATGTCACAAGTCACATGAAAGGTCCAGGTAAATGTCACACGTGACAGTCCAGGTGACAATGTCACACGTGACAGTCCAGGTGCGGCTGAATGTCACACGTGACAGTCCAGGTGCGGCTGAATGTCACACGTGACAGTCCAGGTGCGGCTGAATGTCACACGTGACAGTCCAGGTGCGGCTGAATGTCACACGTGACAGTCCAGGTGCGGCTGAATGTCACACGTGACAGTCCAGGTGCGGCTGAATGTCACACGTGACAGTCCAGGTGCGGCTGAATGTCACACATGACAGTCCAGGTGCGGCTGAATGTCACACGTGACAGTCCAGGTGCGGGTGAAGGTCACACATCACATGACAGGTGAGGGTGAAGGTCACACATCCCGTGACAGGTGCGGTGAAGGTCACACATCACGTGACAGGTGCGGTACAAGAAACGTGCAAGCAATACATTTTAAATATGTTTCAAGCTGTGCTCCATCTGGCAGAATTTCCTCTGACCGGTCATTTGAATATTTTGCTTTTCATCATATCCAGTATATACACGACCACTTCTAAACTGGGCAGCCTGCATGCAAACAGTGTACATCTACTGAGAACGGGCAATCATTTATCACTCAGCAATTCCCTTAAACATGTAAAAGTATTTTTATTCAAATTAGATTGGCTAACCAATGAATTCTTCTATATGTGGTTCCCTTCCTTCAGAGGGAACAGTGGGAAGCCATTAAGACTCAGCAACATTACAGAAGTTGGTAATCTCACACTTGGGACTGCGTTGTAAGAGCTTTCTTTAACGCTCTCAAATCGCTATCCACTCCATCTTCCATTCAGTTATCCTCTCAGGACTGTCAAACTGGCGCACCTTCAAGGCTTTCTTGCAGCCCTAAAGCATCCTGGGAACCTTGTTGTTGTGTAACATAAATGTGTTCCCCATAAAGGACTGCTATAGCCTATGTTCATTAAAAAAAAACACTGGCGGGAGATTTACTAAGGGCCAATTCGCACGAACGTGCGCTAATATGTATGTACATTTCCATCCATTTTAGACGCTGACATCCATTGACATACATTTGAATGTCTGTTGACATGAATGCGCAGCACTATGGTGTGAATAGGGGGCACTGGAAATTATTTCTTTTTCAGATGTCCTGCCATTGATCTGTGTCTTACAGCTGCACTGAAATGTAGATCAACACACTGGTGTGAATTGGCCCTTAAACTGGAGCACTCAGAATCTGGTGCAGCTTGTGCATAGTAAGCAATCCGCTTCTAACTTCAGCTGGTTCAGTTGACCTTTGACAATAAAACCTAAAAGCTGATTGGCTACCATCGTCTATAACGACATAACAACAGATACGTAGAATTACACCCATAACTACTGTGCAGAGTCCATACATACAGAATAAGGACAGTAACTGAGAATTATACCCGGCATACGGGACAGGAGAAGTGGGACTGTGCAGAGTCCATACATACAGAATAAGGACAGTAACTGAGAATTATACCCGGCATTCCAGGACAGGAGAAGTGGGACTGTGCAGAGTCCATACATACAGAATAAGGACATATACCGAGAATGACACCTGGCATCCAGGACAGGAGAAGTGGGACTGTGCAGAATCCATACATACAGAATAAGGACATATACCGAGAATGACACCCGGCATCCTGGACAGGACAGAAGTGGGACTGTGCAGAGTCCATACATACAGAATAAGGACAGTAACTGAGAATTACACCCGGCATCCAGGACAGGAGAAGCGGGACTGTGCAGAGTCCATACATACAGAATAGGAACAGATACTGAGAATTATAACCAGCATCCAGGACAGGAGAAGTGGGACTGTGCAGAGTCCATACATACAGAATAAGGACATATACCGAGAATGACACCCGGCATCCAGGACAGGAGAAGCGGGACTGTGCAGAGTCCATACATACAGAATAAGGACAGATACCGAGAATTACACCCGGCATACAGGACAGGAGAAGTGGGACTGTGCAGCCTCTATACTTCCAAACCTTGTAAACAAAGGGTCAGTTTAATGTCCTTTAGACTTTAGGGGAGCCAGACTGTGACCATTGGGAGTAAACCCCAATATCAGTGGGAAAAACCAATGCTCCATCTTTTGGTGTCAGTGGGAGGAATCGTACCCTGTCATTGGTGTAATTGTGCCCCATTACTGGTGTCAGTGGAGGGGGGAGTTAAGCCCCATTGTTGTTACCAGTGGAATCAACAGTGCGCCAAAGGCTGGAAAAAAATCAAGTAAAGGGCAGCATCTGGCTCCCGGGCCGCAGTTGGGATCCCACTGCTCTACACAAACACACACAAGCACACAGAGCAGATGCCTGAATTGGGTACAGGTAGTTCTAAAGAGACCTACCACCAAATATTTACCTTTAGGTCTTTATCAAACACCCCCTGATAGGTGTCATTGTGCAGCATCCATACATATAGAATGAGAAGAGATACTGGGAATGACACCCAGAATACAGAGGATGTGACTGTTATGTCATGTTTACATACAAACACAAAACATGATAACAATGTTATAATAATGTTGCGGATTGTTTAGAAATTGTAAACAAAAAGAGTGAAATCAGATCTCCTGCCTTTTAGCCCTGGTTCACACCGGTGCGACTTGTCAAGTGTTTTGACAGTTTCAAAGCTTCAAGTCGCACCCTATTGTCAGCAAAGGAACCGTTCAAATCACACCGATTTTGAAAGTTGAAGTCGCACGATTTAAAAGTTGGATCCAGTGTGAACCAGGACTTAGTGCTCGTTCACATAGGTGGCCACTGGAGAGGTAAAAGCAGGAGGATGACCTAAGGGTTTACCCCCCCCCAAATGCCCACCCAAACTAGGGCATGCACGGATGGGCAATCACGTGACCGCTGGCAGTCACATGATTGGGAGGAGGTCCTTGTTGTTGGTCCTTGGCATTCTTGACAGCTCACTCTGAGTTGGGAGGGTGCAGTGAGGACGCTGTTAACACAGAACCACTGACCACTCACTGACGCAAACTGCATAGGTGTGAATCTAGCCTTACTGTACGTGCAGCATGCATAGGGAAACCCAGGGGCGTCCCTAGGCAGGTGCAGGGGGGTGCGCGTCGCACCGGGTGACACCTACCATACAGGGTGACACTGGACTCCACGAAAAGGTAAGTTGTAAAGCAAGCCAACGATCCCTGCAGGATGGATCGGATCTGCGGACTGAGCATAATGGATCGGACTCCGATCCATTATGCTCAATCTGCAGATCTGATCCATCCTGCGGGGATCGTCGGAGGGGGTGTCACCAAGTGTTACCGTACCGGGTGACACCAACTCTAGGGACGCCCCTGGGGAAATCCATTCATTTCAACGGGCTGCCCTATGTAGCTCATGTAGCTGTCAGAGCGTTGAGTTTCACACGTTTTCCAGCATGGAAAAAAACGTGCAGTTGATTGCCACATTTTGGGGAGCCACTAAAAATGTATGGCACTCCAAGCGCACTGTGCGATGTTCATGTGCTTCATAACGCGCGCAAAAATGCATGATTTTGCGCACGTTCATGAAATGCTCAAGTTTGAAAGGAGCCTGTTCACACCAGTGGGCTTGAGTGGTGCAATGCGTGCTTTACTTTTTATCTTCATTTAGAGCCAGGAGTGGACTGACAATTCATGGGGCCCCTGGGCAATAGGGGATCATGGGGCCCCTGTGTCCTTGCCCAAACTCAAAAAAGCCTATGAAAAAGGTACCAGGGGCATCTCATGGGGCCCCCTACTGACCCCGGGCCCTCGGGCAGTGCCCGATTTTCCAAATGGTCAGTCTGCCCGTTTAGGGCTTGTTCAAAAACAGGCGTTGTGAGGTGCGCAAAATGGCGCGTTTACCAGCACCGCAGAGAAATACGTTGCCTTCTGCAGATGTGCACAGGCGACATTATTTCTTCCCGGCACCCCCACACATCTGGTGTGTGTACCCACTACAATGCCTGCTACTGCAGTACCGTGCAGTTTGGTGTGGCGCAATTTACAAAAAAAATGTGGCTGCACCATCTTTGTGCGTTGCATGCGCATAGGGTAACCCACTGAACTTAATGGGCTGCCCTAAAAGGTGACGTGCGGCAAGCACACGCTCATGGCGTGAATGAGCCATTACACCCCGATCGCGACTTACAGTGAAGTCGCACGATTTCAGTCGGATGACGTGCCGATTTGAGGTGCGATTTGCAAGACATCTGACACACGTCTGTGCAAACCGCACCAAAAGTAGTGCATGTGTATTTTAGAAATCGATACGGCTCCAACCAAGTCAAAACCGCGCCGATATGACCGCTGTAATGGCGGACAATAGGGTGCAACTTGCCATGGGATTTGCTAGTCACATGGCATGCAAATCGCATGGCAAGTCAGACCCAGTGCGACCGGGGACTTAGTTAACAGAAAACACTAAAATGCGAATCTATGTGCAACAGTGTGTTGTAAACGCATTGGCTGTGTTGTACCGCAGTTTTTGTGCGTTGCGTTTTTCTGAGTCTAAACCTCCCCAGGTGCAGCCAGGCATCCAGCATTTTCAGGAGGTGGCCAGACAAGGCAGCCCCTTTATTCTTCTCAGGATGGGCGCATGGTTAGGGCCCGTTAAACCCACTTGTAGTGTGGAAAATGTTTGTTTCCGTGTGAATTTCCCGCACCACATGGGAACACACTGCTGTCTTCAGACTGTCATGGCTGCCATTATTTGTTCATTGCACAATGCGGTTTGGTATGTTGCGATTTTAAAAGGAATGCCTGCTGTAATTTTTAGCACGTTCTTGTGCGTTTTGGAAATAAATGGGCTCTCAGCAATGTGCCCGAATGCACGCATTATGGCGTAAACTGTCCTCAAGGCCCCATTCCTACCCATGTGTTCCTGGAACGAGCAAAAAAAAAAAACGCAAAATCGCAAATGTTTTGGAAATAAATGGGCTGTCAGCAATAAACCAGTCCTCAAGGCCCCATTCCTACCTATGTGTTCCCGGAACGCGTGAAAAATGCAAATTGCAAATGTTTTGGAAATAAATGTCAGCAATGCGCCCGAATGCATGTATTATGGCGTAAACCGGTCCTCGAGGCCCCATTCCTACCTATATGTTCCTGGAACGTGCGAAAAACGCAAATTGCAAATGTTTTGGAAATAAATAGGCTGTCAGCAATGCGCCCGAATGCACGCATTATGGCGTAAACCGTCCTCAAGGCCCCATTCCTACCTATGTGTTCCTGGAACGCGCAAAAAAAAAATCGCACTTTTGGCGCCATTCTTTAATGGCACCCCAAATGTGACTAGCAAAAAAGCGCGAGGCACAGCGTTTCCGGAAAAGGCGTATCTTTGGTGCATTTGTCGAGTCAAATGAATAGGCTGCCCTGTGCTGTGGTGCAAAAAAAAAAAAAAAAAGAAATGGCGTTAGCGTGATGCGCAGATATGAAGGGGGCCTGGTATGTATACCTCAACATAATTTGACTTTACTTGCTACATGCTTGTTCAGAGCCAAACAACTGGTATTTACAGCAGGAGGAAGACAGGTGACATGATAGTATACAAATCTTTACATGGCAGATATATATGTGAGCAATGCTCCACAGTCCACCTCACAGGGTCACCTCACAGGGTCACCTCACATTGACAATGACCTCATATTTGTTTTGTTGTTAGCATTACAATAATAGTATTTCTCTGGAGGCAGACAGAAATAATTCCCCTGACTACAATCTCCAGAATGCCTCACTAACCCCGCACGGGACGACGGACAGAGGGAGGGATACAACCTGACACGGTTTGACAAGATGGCAGCGCCCGCCCTTTTTTTTTTCTGCCTCAGGCTCCCTGGGCGGGAAAGCCGCAGCGCGAGGGCAGGGGGTCACGTGAGCGCTTTGCAGAACCTGAGCGGGAAGCCGGCGGCGCGAGGGCAGGGTCACGGGTTGTAGGAGGGGCAGCCCGATTGGCTGATCCCGGTCGGCTTGTGGAAAATGCCCTCAAATATAAAACAAATGTCGTGTGACAGGATTGGAAGTGTGAATTGAACCCCTGAGGCGGCTTTAAAAGCCGTTTTGCACACAGAAGGGTGTCACTGGAGATTAGCTGCTGTCATTGTTTGCCTGGCTGCCTCTTAGCACTTCCTCAGTTTCTGACCTAAAACTAGCATGTGGCAAGTGAAGTCAGAGATCCCGTTCAACATAAGTGGACAATAAATCCTAAGTGTTATAACCAAGCAACAGGCATTTCCAAATGGACGGCAGCAGTCTACATATCTCTAAGGGCTATTTATACAGGGGGGGGGGTGTAAACCAGTGGTTGAGCCGTGCTTTTACCACCGTCCCTCCCCAGCAGCAGCCAGGAGGTGTACACATACCACAGCAGGAATGATACCTCTTCGTGTTCGCCAGATACTACCATCTGCTGAATGTGCCCCATACAAGTGAATAGGACCCTGCTGTAATGAGCGCTATGCACTTAGGCGGTTAAACGCTTCAATAGCGGGCAGTGTCTCCGCCCCCCAGGTCAATTTTCAGCTTTCGCCGCTGTCACAGTTTGCACGTGAATTGCACGGTCATGCAACTTTGCACCCATATGGAATTAGCATTTTTCAAGACAGCTTTGTTTTGGTGGTATTTAACCCCTCCAGAGGATATACCCCCCTTCCTGACCAGGCCAATTGCGCGGTCATGCAACGCTGCACCACATGCAATTTTTATCATTCTTCAAGAGAGAGCTTTCTTTTGGTGGTATGTAACTCCCCCCTGGAGGATCCCCTCCTGACCAGGCCATTTTTTGCGTTATGGCGCTGCGTTACTTTGACAATTGCGCGGTTATGCATCCAAATGAAATTTACGTCCTTTTTTTCCCACAAATTGAGCTTTCATTCGGTGGTATTTCATCGCCTGTGCGGTTTTTTATTTTTTGTGCTACAAAAAAAGACGATTTTGAAAAAAAAAAACAATATTTTTGACCTTTTGCTATAAAACATGTCCAGTAAAAAATGTAAAAAAAAAAATCAAATTTCGTCATAAATTTCAGCCAAAATGTATTCTGCTCCATGTCTGTGCTAAGAAAAAATCCCAATACGTGTAAATTAATTGGTTTACGTGAAAGTTATAGCGTCTGCAAATGGCGGTATAGATAGTGGAATTTTTATTTTTAGTTTTATTTTTAGTTTTATTTTAGTAGTAATTGGGGCAATCAGCGACTTATTGCAGGACTGCGGCGGGCATTCTGACACTGGGGGGGGGGGGACTGACTTGGTGTCACTGACATCCCCAGTGACACCAATACAGTGATCAGTGCTAATAAAAAGCACTGACACTGTACTAATGATATTGGGCAGGAAGGGGTTAATATCTGGGGGGGAATCAAAGGGTTAACTGCGTGCTGTAAGGCTACTTTCACACTGATACGCTGCAAAAACGCATAGGTAGTTTTTAAAGGACACGTGACTTAAAAACTGCACCAGAAACACTTCTCAGAGGCGTTTTTGAGGTGCTCTTCAGGCGTTTTCAATTGATTTCAATGGGAAGAGACGTTTTCGGGATTTTTTTTAACTCACCAAACATGCCCCAAAGATGCTGCAAGCAGGAGTGTTTACACCGCACCACCTCAGTGTGAAAACATACATAGATATACATTCACATACATAGGGAAGCATTTTTCTTGAGCTTTACAGGCGCTTTTTTGAATGCAAAACGCTTCAAAAACTCAGCGTGAAAGTAGCCTAAGCGTGCTGGAGCTGACAGGAGAGAGAACTGTATTGTTTACATACAGACATCTCCCCAGTCAGTGTTCCTCAGTGATCGCCAGGTGCCAGTGGGGAATTTTTGTCTTGGACCCGGTGATCGACAGCTGTAGCCGCCAATGGCGGCGTAGGTAGGGCGGCACGCGCCCCCTACCCGTAAATACAAAATCACGTATATATACACACACATGATTTTGCACAGCCCTGCTGCTCTGTCACAGTACTTCTTCTATAGGGCGGTCAGGAAGTGGTTAATCACCACTGGGGCTCAAACCTATGAACATGTGAATCCCTGTGGAGGGATGAACACAAATAAAGTGCTCATAAAACACATATAAACCAATCAACAAAAATGTAACAAAGTCCAATGAATGTGAACACAACTGCAGTGCGTCAGTCTTCTTAACCACCTCCCCGTCCGGCCGTTGTATATAAACGGCGGGACGGTGGCAGTGCAGGGTCGGGTAGATGTTTATAAACGGCCTCCCCGCCCCCTGCTTGCACGCAGCACCACGATCCGGTCCCGCTGTGTCCTCCGGACACAGTGGAACACCGATCGTCGGACGGGACCTCTTTTCGAGGTCCTGATCATGTGATCACTGATTGGCCAATCAGTGATCACATGCAAAGTAGTAAGCAAGATGCCACTTGTGACATCATTGCTTACTACGTGTGAAATCTGTGAATGATCACAGAGATCACATGGTACAGGGCTATTCACAACAGCCTTGTACCATGTGACAAGCTGTGACCAATCACAGTTCACTCAGTAGTTCTCAATGGCTACAAGAGTACAGCTAGAGAGAAGGAGAAATTATTGCTTTTACATCCTTTATGGGTGTAAAAGCAATCAGTGTAAAAAAAAAAATCTTCATCACCCCCCAAAGTAGTACAGTGTCACCATGGTGACACTGTACTACTACGGTGACAGTATGTAAAAAAAAAAAATAATAAAAAAGTATTAAAAAAATAAAAAAATGTAAAAATAAAAATGTTTAAAAATTATAATTTTGGTTATAAACTAATTTGGGTGTTTTTTTTTTTTTTTTACTAAAAGTATAACGGAATAAATTTTGGCCAAGATTTATGATGAAATATTATTTATTTGCAAAATTTTATAAGAAAAACACTTTTTTTTCAAAATGTTTGGACATTTTAATTCACATAGCAAAAAAAATAAAAATCCCAGCGGTGAATAAATACAACCAAAATAAAACTTTATCTGTCTCAAAAAAATGCTAAAGAATTCATATGGGTACAGTGTTGCATGACCGCGCAATTGTCATTCAAAGTGTGATAGCGCTGAAAGCTGAAAATTGGCAGGAAGGGGGTGAAAGTGTCCGGACTGGAAGGGGGGGAAAGTGTCCGGACTGGAAGGGGGGGAAAGTGTCCGGACAGGAAGGGGGGGGGGGAAGTGTCCGGACTGGAAGGAGGGGGGGGAAAGTGTCCGGACTGGAAGGGGGGGAAAGTGTCCGGACTGGAAGGGGGGGAAAGTGTCCGGACTGGAAGGGGGGAAAGTGTCCGGACAGGAAGGGGGGGGAAAGTGTCCGGACTGGAAGGGGGGAAAGTGTCCGGACAGGAAGGGGGGGGGGAAGTGTCCGGACTGGAAGGAGGGGGAAAGTGTCCGGACTGGAAGGGGGGGAAAGTGTCCGGACTGGAAGGGGGGGAAAGTGTCCGGACTGGAAGGGGGGAAAGTGTCCGGACAGGGAAGGGGGGGGAAAGTGTCCGGACAGGAAGGGGGGGAAAGTGTCCGAACTGGAAGGGGGTGAAAGTGTCCGGACTGGAAGGGGGGAAAGTGTCCGGACTGGAAGGGGGTGAAAGTGTCCGGACTGGAAGGGGGTGAAAGTGTCCGGACTGGAAGGGGGGAAAGTGTCCGGACTGGAAGGGGGGAAAGTGTCCGGACTGGAAGGGGGGGAAAGTGTCCGGACTGGAAGGGGGGAAAGTGTCCGGACTGGAAGGGGGGAAAGTGTCCGGACTGGAAGGGGGGGAAAGTGTCCGGACTGGAAGGGGGTGAAAGTGTCCGGACTGGAAGGGGGGGAAATTGTCCGGACTGGAAGGGGGTGAAAGTGTCCGGACTGGAAGGGGGTGAAAGTGTCCGGACTGGAAGGGGGGAAAGTGTCCGGACTGGAAGGGGATGAAAGTGTCCGGACTGGAAGGGGGGAAAGTGTCCGGACTGGAAGGGGGGGAAAGTGTCCGGACTGGAAGGGGGGGAAAGTGTCCGGACTGGAAGGGGGGAAAGTGTCCAGACTGGAAGGGGGGAAATTGTCCGGACTGGAAGGGGGGGAAAGTGTCCGGACTGGAAGGGGGGGGGGGGAAGTGTCCGGACTGGAAGGGGGGGGGGGGAAGTGTCCGGACTGGAGGGGGTGAAAGTGTCCAGACTGGAAGGGGGGAAATTGTCCGGACTGGAAGGGGGTGAAAGTGTCCGGACTGGAAGGAGGGGAAAGTGTCCGGACTGGAAGGAGGGGAAAGTATCTGGACAGGAAGTGGTTAATCATGCAAAAATGTGACACACCGGTTGGTGCTCCTAAGAATGGCTGCAATGGCCTCTCACCTCCACTCAGCGACCCCTAGGGGCCACAAAGCCTTGCGGATCCCCCCTGGATCCTTCCTGTATGAGTACTCCTGATGGTCTGATACCTGAGCTGAAAAGGACCCTTAGATGTACCGTATCTTCACTGGAAACCCCTCTGGGTCAATGGATAGGCAGGCAGGCAGGTGGATACTTGCAAGCAGCTCAATTCAATGGCCCATACAACAGAAGAACAAATCCTCCACAGTGTAAAACCGCTAAAGATAAAACTTTGCCCAAAGTGCAGCATGGCAACGTGAAGCCGCCCTTACAATTGAAGTCCCTGTGAACAACCCTAAAAATGCCAATTTTACTGACTGATATGCTGATCTCTGGTTTCCCTGTCAATGGCTTGGACTAATTACACTGATTATAGATCCGGGAAAACCCCTTGACCTGCATAACCTAGGCCAGCAGCTCTAAATCCTGAAAACATCAGCATGACAGCCAGGAAGCTAGCATTTTCAGGAGAGGCAGCTTCCACGTTTCCCTTGTGATAGGTTTTCTTTAGTTCATGCAAGCCGTTAAAAATAACAAGTGGACATTCTCTCTCTAACAGGGGCGGATTGACCATTCGAGCACTCGAGGGCCCGGGGTCAGTAGGGGGTCCCATGAGATGCCCCTGGTACCTTTCATTGGCTTTTTCATAGGCTTTTTTGGGTGTGGGCGAGGACACAGGGGCCCCATGATCCCCTATTGCCCAGAGGCCCCATGAGTTGTCAGTCTGCCCCTGCTCTCTAATTCCCTTAGGCTAGGTTCACATCTGTGCGGGCGGTGCCGCTGCGGATCCGCACAAAAATCTGTGCAGCTGCACCACCCACAGAGAGGAATGTGGACCGGCAGGCGGGTGTCATTAGTTCTAATGGCACGCCGCCCGCACTGGAAATCGCAACCGTACTGGGGACCTCGGCTGCGTTTTCAGAAGAAGTGCAGAGACTTCGTTCCCTGCATGTCCCGGGGCACAGGAGTCCATTCAAATGAATGGGCTCTCGAGTCCGTGCAAAACGCGGACCGCAGGAACATGGATATGTGATCCAGGAGTTAATGTAAGGACATCTGATACACAATTACAGATGTTATCCTCTTTGTTAGGGCCAGTTCACACCACAAAAATGCATTCTGGATATGTTTTTGCTTACAGTTCACACCACACGCAGCTCTGGTGCAGTTTTGATGCAGTTTTCTCTGTTCCAGTATGGCTCTGTGCAGAAAAAATACAGCATGTTCTACTTTTTCTGCTCCAGAAACTGACTGGAACTGACTGCGCTAGTGTGAACTAGGACCATTGGAATATATGGAAAGCATTTTTGATGCAGAAAAAAAAAAAAAAAGCGCACAGAACTGCAGCTAGTGTGAACTAGCCCTAAGGGTTGGTTCACACTATAGAAACGCAGTCCGGATGCATTTCTGCATGCACATTTTTTTTTTTATTTCAATCATTTTTATTAATTTTAAATAAAGAACTGAAGCAAAAGGCACGCCCACACAGGGGCTGTCCATGGCGCATAGGGTATTTAACCCCTCCTGGAGGATCCCCTCCTGACCAGGCCATTTTTTGCGTTATGGTGCTGCGATACTTTGACAATTGCGCGGTCATGCACCCAAATGAAATTTACGTCCTTTTTTTCCCACAAGTTGAGCTTTCTTTCGGTAGTATTTAATCGCTTGTGCGGTTTTTATTTTTTGTGCTACAAAAAAAAGACGATTTTGAAAAAAAAAAAAAACAATATTTTTGACCTTTTGCCACTTGCCACTTGTGACATCATTGCTTACTACGTGTGAAATCTGTGAATGATCACAGAGATCACATGGTACAAGGCTATTCACAACAGCCTTGTACCATGTGACAAGCTGTGACCAATCACAGTTCACTCAGTAGTTCTCAATGGCTGCAAGAATACAGCTAGAGAGAAGGGAAAATGATTGCTTTTACATGCTTTATGGGTGTAAAAGCAATCAGTGTAAAAAAAAAAATCTTCATCACCCCCCACAAGTAGTACAGTGTCACGACCAAAACCGAATCAATCTCGGGCACGTGTTTTTGACACATTTTTGGTGCGTTCCAGTGTGTTTTTGATGTGTTTTTTATGTGTTCCAATGCGTTCTTTATGCATTCCAGTTCATTTTTCTCCTCTCTTTTTCTTCAATTTAAAGAGGGACATGTGCGTTTTTGGTGTGTTGCAGTGCGTTTTTTTATGCATTTTACTGCGTTCCAGTACAGTTTTGTGCAGAAAAAAAAATGCAGCCTGTTCTACTTTTTTTCTGCAACCGGAATGCACTGGAACTGCAAGCACTGATGTGACCTACGACATTGACAACCATATCACCTACATTCTGTGTGTTTTGGATGCAGAAAAAAAGCAACTGAAACGCATGTAGTGTGAACATGTGAGCCCTAAAAGAGTTATAGAGCAAGATAGATGTTTCACTTTGTTCACTTGAATATATTTTCAGGTATTTGTGAGACATGAAAATCAAACTAAGGCTACGTTTACACTAGCGTTGTGTGTGCAGGGGGCAGAGAGGTGTTTGGGAAGCATTTTTACCGCTTTCCAAACGCCTCTGGCAATTCTGCACATTGTGCTGTTCTAAGGGTAGCGGTGCGGCAAAACTGACACCTCTGGATGAGTCAGGAGGCGTTGAAGCCTCCTATTCTTGTCTATGGTGCTGCTCCGCAAATGCCCGGTGGTTGCGAGGCGTTTGCGGAGCGGTAACACCATTCAAACTTAATTCTAGGGGGGCATTTTTAATGCTCGGCAAACGCCTAGCAACCGCCGCTAAACCGCATTTGCGGAGCATTAAACGCTCTGCAAACGCCGGACCAATGCTTGCCAAACGCTATAGGGGCGTTTGGCAAGCGTTGGCAAAACAGTCAAGTGCGAACGAGCCCTTATAGTTACTTTGCTGAAAATGCTACAAATACAGAAAAGTCTTGCCATACCTGGATATTGTGGACATTTATGTACTGATGCTGTTCCATAAAAGCCGACACTTTCCGTTAATGGAAACCAGTGGCAGCTGTCAGTATTCTGATGAGATAGGAAATCAGCTGTGTGTTGGAAATTCCTTCTTCCCATTCTGCTTCCTTGTGCAGCTTTGTCAAGTTCTTGAACCCTTTAAACTAAGTACACACAGGTCATTTT